CAGCCGCTGAGATGGGGGCCCGACGAAAGGAGGGGGAGGCAGCTCAGCATAAATAAAGCCTAATACGAAAAGCCCCCCTCCTACCCCCTCTCCTACCCCCTCTCCCACTAACCCTCCTGGGGCATCTGCCCGTGTTCAACTACCCTCTCAAACCCCTCCCCGTCAAACCCTAAACGCAAATGCACACACGTACATACATACATACATACACGTACATACATACATACACGTACATACATACATACACACACTCCTCACCTCCGCAAGGGGCACGAGCGCCAAACACGACAGGGCAAAGGTGGCTCCGTCCCCCCAACCCGTAAATCTGCTCAGGAAGGCCAGCGGCATCGCCACCATCAAAACGTTGAGCTTGGAGTCCAAAAAGAACTGCAGTGGCAGTAGCACATGGGGGGCAGTGTACGGCGAACCATTGAAGCATATACCATAGATAGATAGACGGGCTGGGGGGAGAAGTGGAGGATGGGGAGGTAGTGGGGAAGTACGGAAGGGGGTTGGGGGAAGTGAGGGGGTTATAAAAAACGAGGCCGTACATTTGGTGATTGTTGAGGGGCGGGGCAGGATAGGTTGGGCGAGATAATTTCGCAGTGTCTGAATGTGTGTATGTATGTATGGTTGTCGGTCTGTATGTAGCTGTTAGCTCGATGGTGTGGGGTGGAAAATCATTGACGGAAGGCGGCTGTCTCCAACCCCCTCACAAAACCCACATCGCATCAACCGCCCGGGGGTCAGCAACAAGACAACGGAGGGGGGGGAGGGAGGGAGGGTGGGAGGGTGGGTGGGAGGGGGAAAAAGCTTGGCAAGGTGAGAGCGGTAGGGGAAAGACGAACCACGAACGAGTGAAGTTGCTGCCAGGGCAAGAGTGTACCAGACGTAGAACTGACCGAAAGGCGTTCTTGAAGTGCGGCGACGTCGGGGTGACCTCGTAGTGAAGAAGATGTCGGAAAACTACCTACCTAGCCGTGGGAGGAGAGAAACGCAACAGCAACAGAAACCCCCTCCGACACACCCCTCCCCAAACCCTCTCGCTTCCCACCAGTCCGCGAGCTTCAATACACTAAATGATGTCGTGGTTTATTTCACAACACTAGCCTTACTTTAAGCTTCAGCAAATAGTCACCGTGCACCTCTACAGTATGCCACACTTGCACAGTACTTTGCCTTCGCCGCCTCTACCGCAAGCTTTGTATGCACAACCTTTTGACTTGCTGAGTGACTAGCAAAATGTGATGTGTCCCGAGGAGGTGCTTGGTAGCTGTCAAAACGCCTCCTAACCGAAATCCCCCTCAACCCAAACTCCGGTCGCCCTCCCCCTAGACAGACAGACTGACTGACACACAGACAAACAGATAGGCACAAAGGCAGACAGACAGACAGACAGACAGACAGACAGACAGACAGACAGATGAACGAGGCCTCCCACACTCACCGCTCGCGCCTCCGCCTTAACTTGCCCCAGCCGGCCATTGGCAGTCCCGCCAGTACGGCCCTGTGGGAGGTCGGGGGGCGCCGTGTGTGTTTTAATGACCGTGGTCGTGTGTGTACGTATGTATGTATGCGTGTGTTTGTGTATGTGCGGCAAAGACTGGGTTGTGACCAGCCCGCAGTGTTACATGGAAAGGGAGGGCTGAGAAACATGAACTCTCCCAACCACTCATAAGACTTGGTTGCGTGCGAGACGCGTGCAGCAGTTTCGGAGCACTAACACCGTACATGTCCGGCGAAGGCCTTGCCGTGACTGCTTCCCTTCCCCCCTCCCTCCCTTCCCCCCCCAAAGCCCCCCTCACGTGGGGGCGCGGAGCCGACCGGGAGATGGTTAGTGCGTGTGTGTACGGAAGCTGCTTTGGATGTGCGCGTGTGTGTGTGTGTAATGCTAGGTTCTAGCGGAGGAAAGGGGTGAGGGGCCGGGGTGGCATGCAAGTGGGTCGGGGGTCGCTCAAGGGCCACCTTGGGGGCCGCGCAGCACCTGTGAGCTAGGGACATGTGCATCCGTGTTGTGTATGTCTTCCATGGATGTTGTTCATGCTTGCATGAAGGATCCTAGCTTGCCCCCCACCCCCGCGCGTGGGTGCTGTGCTGTAGCAAAGCGCGGTGCTTGCAATATGGGGGCAACGGGCACGTCGGCTGTGACGTGAAAGGAAGGAGTGGTCGGATGCCGGGGGGGAGTGGAAGTCGCAGATATGGGACCCGAGGGGACGAGGCAAGCTGGGGAAAGTGGGACCGGCTCAAGGCAACGATTTGATGTGGATTGATGTGGATCGGCAAAATTTATTTTAGATCCAAAACTTTGGGTTTGGAGACAAGTATGGCTAGGACTGCTAGGATACCAGATTGCCATGTGCAGGCACCAAACCGTCCTGTGATGCTTTTAATTTCCGCATGGGACGCACCTTGCTAAGCGCCCTCACCAAAGGTGGAGGCGATAAGTCTGACGCACGTGAGTCTGCCATGGCAGTCGAACAGCAAATCTCACGTCGATGCTAAGGCCCTCCCCGGCGAAGGACGCTTTATCACCGAGATCGCTTGCAATTTTTTTCTAATGTGAATATCTATATTTCATACTTATTGTGGAAGCAAGAAGCCAGCACACGTTGGAGGTCTTCCTGCCGTAACCGCCAGCGCGAGCACGAAGTAGCGGGCACAGGTTTCTATGAAGTGCAGAATCCGAAAACTGTAGGTGTGGAGAGCCTATGATCTTCAGCTAATAGGTAAGACCAGAAAAAAGATGGCGGCAGAGACAGCTTTCCACGGCATGCCGTACGCATAGCTTGTTTGGAAAGGTTGGAAGGGGCGGCGACGTGGATAAGGAAAATATTTCAAGAACTATACCAACTCATTTTAATGCATGTGCTGCACGTAAAGTCAGCGACAAACAACAAATGCCAGCGGCTTCTACCAACGGATTTATACTTGCGGCAATGCGGACATGAGTGGCTATACCAAAAATTGCATCCAACGTAGCTTTCCTTCCTAGCTTTCCTTCAGGCCGTCACCTGTGTGATTCGTCCTCTTCGCTTCACAGCTCTTCCGGAGCCCTTCCCAGTCGGGCACGACCAAAACATCATATTTCCATTATTTTTTGAAGCTTCTAATTACATGGGAATTTACATGTACCGCATGAATCCCTTATGCGTGCTTGCTTGTTACGACAGTCACGAATGAGTAGCCCCAATATTTGGTTAGTTTGTAACACGTACATCCATCGGAGGGACACTTAGCTGATTAAATAACTTGATACATTTTGGAGGTCTTAATGCACGCACCTCATTGATTTATTTTGCTCCAGGCTGTCTGTCAATGTTTTTACCACCGTATCGCGGTGCTTGACTACTAAGTACAGAGAGGACATAGAAGCATGACTCCAACCTCTTAAATGTAGGAAGGTACAGGTGACTCTTGAATTATGAAATGTGCGTTGTTAGTCCCGGCATACGCCTGCAACTGCAATTCTTGCAATGTCCCATATCGCGCATCGTGCAACCTCCTCATAGACTCCGATCAAACCAACAAACCCGTACCCATGTACGCTAATGGGTTGAATCCGTGCACACGCCACCAACAAACTTGTCAAAGCAGCATATGACGCCAAACAAACCACCTACACACCAAGCATGCCCATTTGCTACGAAGCGCGTCGTTGTTATCCCGCACCGTGCGTGAGGCCGCCATACGCATAACTAACGCACGGCAGGCTGACGCAGCAGCCAACATGAGTTACGTCCGGCGGTGGGCACACTTGCGAAGCGCGTCATCTCACCAGAACACATGGAATCAACAAACACGGTCATACGACCATACGACCATACTGGCAATTACACCAATTAAATCCGTTGTCACTCGCTCGGAAACACACAACTATAAAATGTGAGCCAGGTAGACGGAGGTTTGTTTCATTCACTCCCAGGCCCTTAGGCAGGGCAACGCAGCAGCATATCATCAGGATGGGCCATCAAATGGAAAGCAGGTGCACATGTGATGTTCCTGGTGGTCCTGAAGTTCCCCGCGTTTTACCACGCACCGGACTGAGTGGTGATGGAACAAAAAACATCCCCGCAGGTGACCCACATCACCAAACATCGCGGTGGGGCCACCACTTTCTGAACGCACCACAGCACCCGCTTCTGCACGTCCACCATCCCCTCCACGCCCAACGCTGTTCATGGAGTTGTTGCCCAACCCAACCCGCCGCAACCTGTCCAATGCCGTCATGCTTTTCGCCGGCTTTTGCACCGCTGCTGCCGTCGATCATCGCTCCCCCCCTCACACACACACACACACGCATGTCGCCCACGTGTCTTGCTGGAGGTTGGAGTGGTTCAGACGAACCCAAAGGCTCATGAGCCGCCCTACTACATCAGCAAAGTCGAATTATGCGCTAGACGTTGGTGCAAGTTCGTCAGCACCTCTCAGGTCCCGGCGGCGTCCAATTGGAGAAACCCAACGACTTCGCCATGTCGACAACTTCATCCAGCACACGCGCACATCTGGATGCAACTCTATCCTTGGTCAGATCTGGTGCGACTGCGACTGTGATGACCTCGCCTGGCGGATCTGCTGGCTCAGGCAGCTCCTGCAGCCGCTGCTGTAGTAATGCGCGCGCATCCAGCAAATCCTGAGTAAAGAAGGTAGGCAACGAGGGTGCAAGAGCGCGTGTATCTGCTGCAAACGAAGATCCCAGTTGGTACTGCTGATGGAAGAGCTGGTGCGCATCGAATTTTCCCTTCTGCTCAAACTGCGCGGCTGAATGCTCGCGTACATTTGCAGCTGATCCCAGCGCGTCGATTTCGCCCTGCAGCTCTTCAGCAGCGGACAGCAACTTCTTCTGAAGCTTCACAATTTCATCCATCTGCTGTCGGAAGGCAGCAGCCTCGCCGCGGTACCTGTCAACCACCTGCTTCGTTAGCTCCTTCTGACTGTCGTACTCTAACTTCCTGTACGAGCATATGTATGTTACAGGAGATACGACAGCTGTGAGAAGGGTGTTGATGGTATCGTGGGATTTTAGTAAGGGAAACTACACTAGGAGCCATAAACGGGTGAACGCATGAAATCCTTTGGAACAGTGGCCAGCAACATCTATTCGCCCAGAGACACAAAAAAATGAAAGGTGTGCGGCCCAAGAAGGCGTTTGATGCCACGTGCCCCACCTCAACACCCCATTCAGGCAGGGGATTTTATTATTATTCCGCCGACCTAGCCCCCGAATAACGAAGATTTTTTTCAAAATCCCATACCACCCCTACCGCCTTTCCGGCTGTCTGCAACGAATATTAACAAACCAGCGGAATGATGTACGGTGATCTTGCATCCTTCACAACCTTTCGAACGCAGTCCACCTCTCTACTTACAGTGATGGGTGGGGCGGGGCCCCCAACCCTTTGCAGACCTTGATGTAGTTCGTTTGATGACGCTGGATTTTAGGTCGTGACGCATCCAGGATTGTGGTCACCGGCTCAGAAAGGAAGCACAGTACCGACTCCAGCAACTCTTGCAGATCAGCGGGAATCAGACGTTCATCCCAATCGGTGCTCAACACCATTTTCCGCGTGGGACCAAAAGCGCCGGACCGGCCCGCGCCCACCTGAACATCGCCTGACAAAAGCACGAATGGGCATGTGTTGCATCGGCAGCAGCCATGTCGTATTAAACTTAGGTGGGGTCAAGTGGTGCGCATATTAGCGCCCGACATGGCTTTCCTATATGACGAAACGATCAACAAACATGAAGTCACATAACCATGTGGATACACCCCATCCAATGGTTCGCGTCATCAGTGTTTTAAGCAAGGCACATGACAACATCCTGGCCACGAATGAACTGACCTGCACCCGTTGCGCTTTCAGAGGTTCCCACACCACCACCCTCCGGTAATCCAGCAGGGTTGTGTCCCGTTGACGGCTCATCCACCGCGGATGGCTCAACCTCGCCCTTGAGGGGCTCCGACTCCTCGATCTCTTCGTCCATGCTGCTGTCTGTGGCGGCGTCATCGCCGTCGTCATAGCCGTCGTCGTCATCATCTCGTGCGCTGAGGTTCACCCGACCTGTGGTGCACTGCGCTGGCCTGTCGACTGAAGCGGCACGCCTGGGAGGAGCCGCACCCCCGCCAGCACCAGCTGCACCGCCGCCACAGCCAGCGCCTACTCTGCCACCAGCAGCACCAGGTACACCAATAAAAGCACCAGCAGTGCGGCCGCCGTAGCCGGTGTTGATGATCCTGCCAGCAGCACCAGCGCCATGCCCCCCGCCAGCACCAGCCATGCCCCTGCTGCCCCCTTGCATCTCTGCATTTCTCCTGGCGGCTGGTGCTGATTTACGTCGCCTCTCCTCCACCATTCCCACCCCGCCCCCTTGCATGCCATTGCGCCCATCTTCAGGCGCGTCAGCGCCCCCAGCACTGCGAGCGAGCCCGCCATCACATTGCCCACCTCCGCCGGGTCCTGCTGCTTCACGCAGTGCTACCCCCCTAGCTCGCTCAACGTGCTCCTTTCCCTCCTGCTGCTGCTGCCCCTGCTGCTGCTGCTGCTGCTGCTGCTTATGACTGGCAAGAGCGCAGGGGTGGGGCTTGTCCCACACTTGAGCGTACTCAGGAATCATAGATGCGGGCAGCCGCATGTTTACAACTTCCGCGCGGACTTCAGCCAGCGACATGTACTCCACGTGGTCCCTGCAGCTGCCTGTGTTCACATACGGCAGCTTGAACTTCCTGTGCGCCACCTTTTGATCTTCGTGCATGCACAAGGCAAGCACCACCTTCCTCCCCGCTGCCGGGTTCTTGGTGAGCTCGAAGCACGCCTTGCACACGTAAATTTCCTTGAAGTACTCTGCGGGATTGCAAGGTGGCATGTGCGTGTGTGTGCGTGTGTGTGTGCGTGCGTCTGTGTGTGTGCGTGTGTGTGTGTGTGCGTGTGTGTGCGTGTGTGTGCGTGTGTGTGTGCGTGCGTGTGTGTGCGTGCGTGTGTGTGTGCGTGTGTGTGTGCGTGTGTGTGCGTGTGTGTGTGTGCGTGTGTGTGTGTGCGTGTGTGTGCGCGTGTGTGTGTGTGCGTGTGTGTGTGTGCGTGCGTGTGTGTGTATATGCTACAATACGCCTCAGGAGGTTTCCAAAAATGTAACGGACGGTTACAAAATACAAAATACAGATGACCGAAAGGACAACAGTCATAAGAACACACACGCACACAGAAAAGAGAAAAGTTCTACTCTACGTGCAAAGAATGCGAAAGACTTGCGTCAAAGCAGCACCAACACCGTAACGTGCGCTTCATGCGGCCCGCGTGCATGAATGGATGAAGTGCACCCCCGGGGCCAGTGATGCACTCCATCGATGGTATCATGCACGTAAAGGTTGCCAATGTTATAGCATAATCTGCCGCAACTTCGGGGGACTGGAAACTCTGTTGCTACCACCACCCACGAGGCAGAGTAAGACGGTACTTACCTGGCATTTCCGTGCCCCGGCTTCGAAGGCATAGTAAGGACACTACCATGGTCTTCTCATCTGGCGGCCCCCGCTGATGCACAGGCAGCAAACAGGCTTTGCTTTCCTCCACGTCGATGGCGCGGCTGCCATGGATCAGGACCTTTTCCAGGGCGGCGTGAGAGTTGTTTATGAACCGACGTCCACACCCGTCATGCGAGCACATGAGGACGCCACCGTACTGTTGGCAGTAGTCCTCTGCCAAAAGGGTGAGTGCGTTTTCAAGTAATCCATCTCGCGCAATAGCAATAACACTTGTTATGTAGGCAACTTCCTCTCCCACTTACTCTCACGAACGTGCTTATTCCGGCCGCCCTTCACAGCCGTCGCCATGGCTGGGTTAGCTTGCTGGTGCTGCTGCTGCTGCTGCTGCTGCATGACAGGCGGCTGAGCCGTCTCGGCGGCCTGCCTGCTGCATCCAGCACCATTACGTGCTGTATAATCTATGGCCTCAGATACATGGGTGGTTAGGCCAAACGCCTTGTACAACTGGCCTGCCTTCGCTCTTTTGGGTCTTCGCTCCGCCATCATACGCGCAGGCTAATCATCAGATAATGGTACGCTATGTTTAGGCAGTGTTTTGACGTAAGACAGTTCACTACATATAGAAAGATATTCGGTTAGTGTAGGTGACGTCTTATCTGGGAGTAATCGGTACGGATGACCATTGCCCCGGTGAGCCCTTTGGGGCATCAAGGCAGATGCCTTGCACTCATCTTATGGCGAATTCATGGCATGTTTCGGCTACATCTGGATATCGTGTAAACTAGCCGTCCGTTTGTAAGTTGAAAATGCTTTGGGCTTGGAAGCATGAATGGATACCCATGATATGCGAACGTACAGCAGCACCTGCCGCTTATTCCTGGCAGTAACAGCATACCGATTGCGTTGCGCTTGCCAGAAGTTAACATCAAACATCAAAGGAGCAGGGCATCAACATCAACGAAGTACGCCGATTTGTAGAGGAACCCGTTCCAAGGAGGGTTCCAACGCGTATGTCTGTAGCTGGCAGATTAACAAATTAATGGTCAGCTGTATGCAGACATACATCTCTGACTGCGCCCTTTTGTTTTGTCAGTTGGAAAGTCTGTTAGCGAGGGATTTGAAAATTGTCACCTGAGACCTCGACTTTGCTCGCTCTGTTTTACAATTTCGCATAATGTATATACGTGAATGATAGAAATGAAAAGAGAACGGAGGAAGACGAAGCCGAGCTGTAGCTGTTGTAACGCATTTCTGAGACATTCTGCAAGCAAGCGTGATGTTGTCCAAAGTGCGCTTTGCTAATACAAAGTAACGTATCCCGCATTGTTCCTACGACGCCACAAGTAAAGGCATGCCTGCAAAGTAATACCCTTCCCAGATAAAGGACGTTTTACAACAAACAGGAAACCTCACCCCAAGCGAGCTTGGGTCATTGCTAAAAAGCATTTGCAGAATAGAAAACAAAGACCGGTTGCCAAAGGCGTTTTAGTCCGCCGTATTCAACGAAGCCATGGGGACCTCAGTTCGCGAATACCTAAACGGTGCGGCAATCATGAGGGGGACTGGTATCGGCTGTTCGAAGCAAGCATGTCAAGCCGCCTGTCAAGCCCTGTCACGCCGCCCCCAGACATCAGAAAAAGGCTCCACCCACCGCCGTTCAGACAACGTCAGGGCATATTACCAATTACACTCTGATGTGTTCCCATGGCGCGTGTTCGGACACGGGTTCCCGACACGATATCAGCGTCCCCAAGTTAACGCCTTCCTAAATCCGGGACAGTTTACTATCGTTTTATCCAAAGACGGGTCGGTGCAAGCGCTGCCGTTGCAACTGTAGTTGGGTCAGCTCCCGAACCATGTCGGAAATCTGCGAGTGGAGAGCGCTGCCCGCAAACCAAGCCTCCCGAGATGCAGATCCAGAACTTTTGGATCCAGAATCTGCAGACCTAGATCGGGATGAACCATACCGCATCTGCAGGACACGCATGCACGCCGCGTCACGGTGTTCTTGCAGCACAGCAACCGGCCCCCGAACGCACCACGCTACGGCCCTTTCAGATGACCCCTTCATCTCAGATTCCGGGTCCGGATTCCCTTCCGGACCCAAATCCAGATCTGGATCCAGATTCTGGCGCGCAGCCCTAGCTGACGCCTGTGAGCCCCTGCTGCTACTGTCCCCTGCGGCAATAGGAAGCATGTGGGCCACCTGCGGACATACATACGTACGGACATATCTGTATATAGCTATCGAGCTGGTGTGGCCATCGGCCGGGGGTTTCCGTGTGCAAAGATGGTGTGCGTTTATAAACAAACTAGTCTTTATAAACAAACAGTTAATCAAAACAATTGAAAAAACAATACAACAAACTGTTATTGTTTTCCACTAACGTCAGATCTTGTCGTACCCTGGCTGTACGGCGAATCCAGATATAACCTTCATCTGTATAGACCTATACAGCTTTTTGACATCCAGACGACCCTCAGGTGGAGGGGTGATACCCGCGGGCTGGATAACCCTGCCTAGACCTGCTCCTGCATTGCCCCCGACTTCCTTGCCGCGCAGTAGAGCATGTTCTTGCATACACATGCATATGCACACGAACACATACACATACACATACACATACACATACACATACACATACACATACACATACACATACACATACACATACACATACACATACACATACACATACACATACACATACACATACACATACACATACACATACACATACACATACACATACACATACACATACACATACACATACACATACACATACACATACACATACACATACACATACACATACACATACACATGCATATGCACACGAACACATACACATACACATACACATACACATACACATACACATACACATACACATACACATACACATACACATACACATACACATACACATACACATACACATACACATACACATACACAA